AGGGTAAGAGCAACCACAGGGGAAATGATTGTCTCTCTACAGGCTCTTCTCTGACAAGCACCAATTATTTGCCTTGGGACTTAGAGTGAAATCTTCCCTCAAGTGTGTATGAATGAGAATGGCATCCATTTTCCAAACACAACCTGGGATCTATGAACCTGCATCAGACAGTGTCGTAACAAGTAGTCTGTCTCCTCTTTGCAACAGGCCAGAAAAATGCAGACAGGACCAAAGCTAAATGTGAAATGGTTAGATTTAAAGAACTGTCTTGCCTGATAACATACAAGTTTAAAGACCATTTTCTTAACGACAGGAAAACAATGGCTCCCTTCCAAACTTTTAACTGTTAGACCCATAGTCTTGTTTAGGCAGATTTTTTGGACATATTTTAATATAAAAAGTGATTGAACCATAATCTTTTTCTAAATTTTTTATATCCCTTTTTCAAACTAGGAAAGGACAGGTGGTTACGAGATTTGGAGTCAGCCTGTTTCAAATCCCTGTTCATTCACATCTCCTAATTTCTTTATAATGTTTGCATAACCATAAAATAAGAATAATATCCTACTACTAATAGCACCTATGTCATAGGCTTCTCCCATGAGTGACAGTCATAGCTTCATGGCCTTAGTAGGGGACATCCCAAAGTTCCTTTTTTGTACACAAAGTTTGAACTAGATCTCAGTTTTGAATTATTTCTGTCTTTCATGTTATTTGTCTCCTCCAAGCAAATGTTACAACACAGAACTACTTGGTTTTTCACTCCTCTGTCTATAGAGGCAAGTCAATATTCTAAAATCTTATTAAATATAGCTTTAAATTTTTTTCTACACTACATTAGAAATTTAAACATGTTTCAAATTGGTTTTTGTTTTATAAAATGCAAAATGTTTAGTTCTTTATAGGGTTGAAATATAGAGTACATACACTGATATCATATTTTCAGAAATCCACATTTCCAATTTGCTTCTTTTGCTGTGTATGGTCAGAGGGTACACTTAGATGACATAGATCAGGCTGAAACTTTCATGGAATTGAACTCAGGGCCTGGCACATGGAAGGCAATCATTCTACCACTGACTTATATTCTAACATCCCCTGCCTACAAATATTTTAAAGTTAGCTTAACTGTGGATCTGTTTCTCTTATACTTCTCTTATGCTCTTCTCTTCCATTTGCCTTTCTTGTTCCCAAATTTCTTTTTTTTTTTTTATTTTATTTTTTATTTTTTTGAGAGAGAGCGAGAGAGTTTTTTTAGTATTTATTTTTTAGTTTTCGGTGGACACAACATCTTTTTGTATGTGGTGCTGAGGATCGAACCCAGGCCTCACGCATCCCAGGCAAGCCCCCCCAAATTTCTTATTTGCTCTATAGATTACCTTAGTCCTGATTTTAATTAAATGTCAACTTAAATCTATTATATTTTCCCATTAAAAAAATCAAGTTTGGAAGGCAGTTTATGCTTTTTATGTTAAGAATTAAACATTTTAAAAGGGTCAGAAGTTAACATAAGTATTACCTTATTAGCACATGAAGACTCAACCACTTATGATCTTCAGTAAAAGCTCTTATCCTAAATTTTCTTCCAATCTTATTTCTGTTGTACAGTTATTTTAATTATATACATATAATCTAGTAAGTGTAAAACTGAATAATAATAAGCAAACAACTGACATTGTTAGTTTGAAATTCAGTATTTTGTACCACTTTAACTCACAAGGGTTGTCATAGAAAAAAATCAAGAAAAAACTTCAGGTAAACTTCTGTTTTAAGACATTTTAACCATGCATATATTATGCATTAGAGGGCCTATTAACAGGAAATAGATATTTTTAAAAACATCACAGCATTCAGGTATGTGTATTTAAAAGCCAATAAGATTATAAAGAAACTAAAGAGCACTTGTTGGAATTACCCAAGAATTATGCCAGAAACAGAAAAAGGGGAAGTAGGGTAGGGGATGGGGTGGAGAAACAGAATGAGAGAGACAAACCTGAGTCCTAGAAAGTGCCAGGAATAGTAAAACTTACTCTAAAAAAAGTCCCTCATCTTAATAAGAAAAACCAGTCCCCCAAAACAAAAAACAAAGACCATTAGAGAACTGTCACTTTATTTCAAATTCAGATCTCATCCTAAGTTTGACCTGAAATTCAATCACTTTTTCACTTAAAAGCAGGTTTTAACAAATGGATTTGAGAAGAGGAAGTCTATGCAGGAAGAATGTGGGGAATCAGTTACAGACAGAACATAGAATTTTTTCAGGGCTACTCCCTCTGCTCCCCATCCCTACCCCTCACCAAAAGTCTAGCTATACAAAGAGAAGAACAGAGATATACAAACTAATTGGATAGACTCATCTTTAAAAATGAATTTCAAAAGAAATCCCCACCTTTCTCAAATTTTATTTCACAGAATTAAAAAGCTTTATATTATAGCATTAAGTTAAAAAATAAAGGGCCACAAAATGCAAACACTCTCAAACTTAACACTGAATGTTAAGTATGCCATCAACACACCAAAATGGAGATTATAATTTGTTTGAAGAAAACTACAGGACTTTTAAAAATTGGCAGCCAGTTAAAAAGAAAGAAAGAAAAAGAACTGACAACCAATAGATGCTTTTACAGGTTAAATCTTGTTGAAGGTGCCTTAGCCCCTCAGTACACTTTGATTTATTTAAGCTCACCACATTTCTCTTAAATACACTCCATTAACAAGAGATAGACTGTGATCTTAGGCTTGAGGCAAGACATGAAACACAATCTTTCAAGAACTTCATTCATTCTCTGACCAGGTGTCTTGAGCACACCCAAGTTACCAGTTACTTATCTGAGTTCTGTGAAGTTTTATTCAAATCAATAGCATTGCTCTACAATAGCAGGCTGTCACTGAATCACCCTAGCAGCCCAATGATTTGACTGACCCTTCCAAGTTCAGATATACAACAGGAGTGAAAGTTATCAGAGAAATGATAAAAAACCTTCAGGTTAAGTATGAGGAAGCAACTCAAAGATACCTCTTGCCTGGAACCTGGCAAACAAAGTAGATAAAAACAAAGTAGGTTTAAAAGATCACCAATGGCTAAAATGGGAAATAAGAGAAAAATGAATCAAGATATCAATTTAAGATTCTAAATATGTCATGCATCTATTCAAATAATAATCCTCAGATATTATATACTAACAAATTATTAAATCTGATAGGACAGTCCACCCCCCATATATTTCTTCAGTAAAGACAGAATCTGCACATTGACATGACCAGCTTTCCATATCCTGTTGGTGAGACCCTATCTTTAATCTACAGCCATGATAAAATGTCCCAACATATACAAACTGAGCTCAAACGGTGACTAATGACCATTAATCCCCCTATCTTCAGTAATCTGCCCCTCCAGTCATTTATCACTCTGACACTTCACTTTACACACGTGAATAAACTTTAACTGAGAAGGTGAATCAACAAAAATCTCAAAGGTATCTGAAGCTGTAAATTAAACTAGGGGGAGACAGCGCAAAGAGAGACAAATAGAGAGATCAGATCTTAATGTTTTTGATTTGCATCCATGACTGGGGGTAGGGGGGAAGAAGCTATTCAATCACTCAGTTATGCAAACCAAGGGAAAAGCTGCCTAACAGAAAGGAGAAGCTGAGGTGGGGAGAGGTGGCCCCAAAGAGTTAGTTTAATCTACTGATCCATCCACTGTGACTGACATATATGAGATATGAGACTGACCCTTCAGTTTCTGTTTTCTTTAAAGGAATAATAATTAATGAATTTCTTATTTACTTCAAATGTTCCTAGTAACTTTCAGCCAGGAAGTACATCCAATGGATTTCAATTATTTTAGCAGTTTATCTGCCATAGGTTAGCTGATGTAGTTTTTTTTCTTTTCATATTCCATTAATTATTTGGCGTCAGTAAAATCCTTGCTCAAAACATAATGGATCACCATAAACCAAAAAGGCTCAAATTAACATTCAAAACGATTTCATAATTATGCAAATTGAGTGACTCTAACCTATAGGCCCTGATGCAACTTGAAGCTCAGCATGGACTATAAAAATTCCCTGAGGTACAGTGTGTGTGTGTGTGTGTGTGTGTGTGTGTGTGTTAAGGCCTGAAATTGGATCCATGATTGAAACCAGAATCTACCTAAAGGAAAGAAACAAAAGTTGAGTCGTGGCTCGGTTCACCCATAATAAAAAAGTTTCTTAGGAACTACAAGAAAACTATTTCCAAGTGTACTCTTGCCAGAAGGTTCCCGTAGCAGCATCTTTCCAAAACTTCATATGGAGTTTCAGTACGATTTAATTAATCCTAAAAATCCCAATTCTGTTTTCCCTCGCCAAAGAGAATTCCCAGGCAACTAACAGTTCCCTTTCAGATATGTGCAATCGCCTGTTTTTATAAACTCAGTCAGGCAGTGGCTGGTTTATATCCTATCATAAGAAGGAGTTATTTCCTGAAGTTTCTTCAGAATCGAATTTAATTACAGACTTTGGTTACATAAAACAACTACTAATAACCCCTTGTGCTCTGAAGAGGAGGGGCGGATTGGAGGACCAGGTTCTGGAATCCTGGCGAGTCTGTGGGTCACAAATCCCAGCCCATCTACCTCTCATCCGCCGCTCCGCTCCGGGAACCAGCGGGTGGATGATACTCATTTGCATTGGTCCTGGGGGCCCAAGCTCACCGCCAACCGCTGCCTCCTCCCACCCTAGTGCTGAGACCTAGCTTTTGCCCAGAGTAGGGCGTGCCCTGAACTTGGTGAAAGGCCGAGGTCTGCGAGGAGGTTTGGGGGGAGTTTGGGGGATGGGGGGAAAGAGACAAACCTCAAACCCTAACTAGGAGCCTTTTCGCCTAAAAGTTGTGCAGTGATCCAGCCCCATCCGACCTTAGAAGGGAGAGGTAACCAAAATGCTGTTCGCGGTTTGATTCTGAAAAGTGGAGAGGGGTCGAGCAAGGGAGATCAAGGGTGAAGAAAAGACGCGGATTACCTGAACAGAGACATATTAATCCAAAGAGGTAAAAGTGAGCAGGCTCCGCGATCATTGTCCTCGGGTGGATCCTGCATACAATCTCATGCCAAGAGAATGGAGTAGAAATGGGGTTCCCAAATTTATGAAGCCACACAACCACACAAACCTACACAAAGGCTTAATATAAGCAACGTGGGTCAATCCGCCAGGAGTTTTCTGGGCAATTACTTGTCGACCCTTCCAGACGATTGTCAATATCTCAAGAGCCCTCTGCAAAGGAAGAATTCCTAGGCTTGTCTTCTCCGGCCCCCGGGTTTCCGAAGAGGCTCAGCCACTTCCAAGGACCATCCAAACCGAACAACAAAGAGCCGAAGCAGAGGATCAGTTGTGCCGTTTCCTGCCTCCACCGTCTTACTGAGCCTCCCTGCGTGCGCCCCCACAACGTGTGCCCGAGCGCCGCTGAGAGGGCAGGCGCGGGGCGGCAAAGTTGGGGTGTGAGACCGGATTAAGGAGAGCCAAAAAGTGTTTCTCCGTGTACAGGCGAGCCAAGCCAGCAGCTGGCCACCCGCGCAGGCGGCGATGGCAGTCAAGATAGCGGCTGCAGCTCCGGAGCACCGGCTCGGGGTGCCGGGGGTGTGCCTGGGTGACTCCGAGCGCAGGAGGCGAGCGAGGGGGCGGTACGGCGACAGCGACTGCCTGGGCGGGCCCTTGTTCCCATCACTTGGGGGATGAGGAGGGCACTTGGGACAGCAACAGGACCACGGACACACGCACGCCTTCCGGGCGTCCCCAGCTCCGTGCAGCGCCCAACATCGCCCCTGGTCCTTCTATTGGGGTGCGCGCTCACGGCACCCCAAACTCTGCTGGAGCCCAAACTTCCTGGGGGGTGGCTGCTCACACCCCTGGCTCTTGGAAGCTGCAGATAGGCAGCTCTTGGACCACCCCCCCCCCCCAGGGGTGGTAGAGAGGGGCCAGGAGGATGCTGCTGCGGGTGGAAGCGACTGCCGCCGAGGCTCGCCCGATCTCTGCCGAGATCAGCAGCGTCTGAAGTTTCTGCTCTCACGCAGCCTCCTCTCAGGCTCAATGCTTGTGGGTTTCCCCCACTGTCCCCGCGGCTCCCAGTTTCCTCCCTCTCCAACCGGCCCGAGAATACTTAAAGGGGCCGTACGGTCCTCTCCATGCCTCACTTTATGCTCTCCACGCATCGGCCCGGCAAGTTCTGCTTGTTAATATTTTCATTCACAAGCCAGGGGCGTCCGACTGCGCCCTCAGGTGAGAATCCAACTGCTCAGGAGCAGAAATCCAAGTGAAAGAGAACTTGTCTAGTTTCTCGTGCCATCCCTATCTCCCCTGCACCTTTCTCCAAATGGAACCTCCCAGCCAAAGACTTCAAAAATCCTCCAGGTCCAGTTTAACCTCTTCCTTACCACTTCCAGGACTGGAATAAACTCTCAGATGACTCCACCCCCAGGCCTCCCTATCTCCCCCTTCCCACTTTTTTCTTTCATTTTATTTTTTAAATCAAATTTGAGCAAGGAACCATGAAGACAGGAAGTAGACAGAGGATGGAGTTTATCACTAGACGGGCTTCCAATACAATTCCCTTGCATAGTTTGAAGTTAAGGGTCATGTAATAAAAGACTATCCACTTGGAGGGGCTGAGGGGCTGAGGTAGGGCCATGGGGTCCTTTGGGTGTTTTATTCCAGAGCCTTTCCTTCAACTTCATAATCTCTACATACAAGAAATTAACAACGAGGAAGCAATTAACGAAAGGGGACCAGTTGGGGATGGGGGTGGGGGTTGATCCTTTATTAGTCCAGCTAAAAGATGGTAAATAAAATTAAAAGAATTTAAACTCGTGGTATGTGCTCTTATGACAAGCGGCTCAGCATTTTTGAACCAAGACATGTGGGTTTCACAGCCAACTCAGCGCCCCTGGAATTCCAACCTGCCAGTTACTAGCTCTGTGTCCATGCCAGGTCTGACTTCTCCTCTAAAAACAGAGACTATAAAGATACTTCATGGTATTAAACCATGCTAAAGAAAAGCAAACCTGGCACAACTCATGGGCTTTTGTTCATTCATTCATTCATTCCTCCTCCTATTAAATAACACTCTATGGAAAATACCTAACACATGTTGAGTGTTTGGTCATCCGTAGATATTTGTACTTAGAGCATTCTTATTAACAAATTGTTATCTACAAAGATATGTACAATAACTGTAAAATGACTGTTCAGAATCTAGCAGGATATTTAAGAAGCTGCTTTCATAGTTGCCTCTGGAGGGAATAATTCCACAAAGAATGGGCAGGAGAGGAGGATTTTATCTTTTCTGTGTACTGTTGTGTTCTTCAATTTTTTTTTCCTGACAAAGTGAGTTTGTAAATTATGTAATAAAAAATAAAATTTTTAAAGTAAGCTGGTTGTTCATTTTGGTTACAGCTGGTTCAACCAATGACCTCACAGCGACATTCTGTGGAAAGAAATTCTGGTTAACAGCACCTATCTTTGAAAGTGAAAGATAGTTTAATCCTGAGAAAGCTGACTGAAAATTCAGTAAACAGGCTGGAGATAAGAATTCAAAGACTCCAACCAGAATCTTTTCAGCAATAAAAACAAGAATGTGCAGTAAATGCTGAAAAACGGACATTGATTTGGTCTTTGTGAAAGAATATTTAGTGAGAAACATAGAATATAACTTTTCTTGGTATAAAATGTGCTTTTAAGATAAGCTTAACTAGTAATAAAAAAATAAATAAGCTAAAATGTGGTGACAGAAAGGGCAAGACAGAGAAAATCCCTCAAATCCTCATATCACTTAAGTGCATTTTAAATAAAGGTATTGAACTTCCAGTCAGTAGAGGATGTGTACATTTATTTTTCTTTTCTTTTTTATGGTATGGGAATCAAACCCAGAGCCTCAGGTATGTTAACCCCATGCACTACCACTGAGCTACACTTCCAGTTCAAAGATATATACTTTTAATATTCAGTGAAATATTTATACAAATACCTATTGCATTGCTCCCCTAAGTGGATCTCCTGGTCTCTGGCAGTTTGCTAAGTAGATCTCTCAAGATCTTTTTCACCATTTCTAACATTACCATTGAATGGACATAATATTAGAACTGTGTTTATTTCTCAACTTCAGAAAGCAATGTGCACCCAACTCATCTATTCTACCCATACAGATATTATCCAGGAAAGTCAGCAGTCAATATCTTCCAGCATTCTGGAAGATATTATGGCCAGTCTCTGATGAGAACCAGCATAATCAGTTTACTTATGTTGGCCTTTTCTTCTTCTCCCACTTTGTCCAAAGGGTATGTTGTTCTGTCCGTTTTTATCAGTAAAGCTGTCATCTAAAGATAAAAATTTGTATTCCAAAGGTATTAGGAACCTATAACAAGTGAAAGTCAATGAACCTGAGAATATTCTTAACTACATCCTTTCACTCTGTCATTCACTCTTACTCATGCAAATAAACACTGAGTAAACAACATCTACGCTCAAGTAAAGGATACCAATAATGCAAGATGAAAATATTATCCTATTTTCCAGGCTCTGAGAGCTCTTATTATGGGGAGGTACACAAAAAATAGAAGAGACTCCATAATGGATTTTGTCTGAAACAGAAACAAAGTATCATTGGGGTGAAATGACAGTTGACACGTTTCTGGGGATGGATTGATCATAGCAACTTCTTCCCTTTCCACTTTTGAGCCTGAACATTAAATTACCTAGAAGGATGCACAAAATGCTCGATGTATCTATATGAATGTGCATGCAACTGTAAATATGTACACATGGATAGGAAACACAACTTATCTTCAAGCAACTGAGGTTGTACAATGGACCTCTGACTTGTTCCTTCCTGGTTAGGAGACACAGCAAGTAAGGAGAAAGTGTCTTAATTTGCACTCAGTAATTCTATTCTGATCACTATGCTCAGAATGAATGATGGGTCTTGAAATTCCATTTAGAGGATTCTCATCTCATTTGAAGCCTATAAAATTCAGGATCCCTAAAAGGTCTCTTTGAGAAGCTTGAAGAAACCCCAAAATAATACATTCTAGTAGTTCCATGAAAGGCTTTTTGACAAAATTCTAAAGCAACAGTGATCTGCTGGGTTGCTCTGATCTGAGTTTATCTTTCATAGGAGTAGCTGCAGGAACTCAGGAAATAACAAAGCTCCCAGAGCCTCTCCAGGGATCCCAGATAGCACTTACTCAGATCAGGAGAAGCAGAGTAGAGTTCCTAAGGAAACTACAAACCAGAACATCTGCTGCCTTTCCTTCTTAGCATGAGGCCTTAGAATCAAACAGAGCCTGGGATGCAAGCCACAAGTTCCAGCAGATCTGGTGAGCAGATCTGGCAAGAAGTACACATCAAGGCTGTGCTGAATACTCCAAGATACCATCCCTCAGGGTACAACAGCTAGTTTAGCAATTTTTACACGAAATTGCTGAATAACCTGTTTAATCCTTGGTATCTAAATTAAAGGCCTAAAATGAACATGTGAATGTTTTCTCAAATTTGGAAATAGAAGCCCCATGTCAGAGAGTAACCTACAGTAGCCCTGGTCATAAGGAGAAAACTCATACTGGAGGGAGACGGAACATCTACTGTCCTTCAAGAAACCAGGCCTATTTAGTTTCTTTTATATGTATGCAGGGCACATTTTAACAGACTTATTTTTATTTGCTTCTCTGTCCTTTAGAAGAGATAATTATGTGCCCCAAACCAGAAACCACTGAGAGAGAAAAAAGATTCCCTGGGTTATACATCTTCATTTAAAGACTTAAGTCACTATAAACAGGACCATGTCTTCAACACAGAATTTTTTCCCCCCAGTACTAGGAATTGAACCCAGGGGCACTTAACCACTGAACCACATCTCCAGCACTTTTATTTTGTTGTTGTTATTGTTTATTTTGAGACAGGCTCTCACTAAGTTGCTTAAGGCCTTGCTAAATTGCTGAGACTACTTTTAAACTTGTGACCCTCCTGCCTCAGCCTCCCAAGCTGCTGGGATGGCAGGCCCTTGTCACCATGCCTGGCTTCAATACAGAATTTTAAGGGTTGGGATAGAGCCACACTGGTCCCGTTTGATCATGTACTCCAGTCTTGCTAAAGTTCTCTAAGGCTTTATTTAAAAATGGAACCATGGCACACTTAAGTTGGCTGTGGAATAACTATGACTGTGCTTGCCTTTTAGCACCACAGCATCTTGGAGACATTGTAGAAAATCTAAAACTAGGCTATTTATACTGGCTAAACTCTTTATAGAGCCTGGGACCTTAAGTAAGAGCAACAATGGGTCTCACTAGAATTTACACCTTTCATGTTAACAGATGGTTAGCTTTTGAAGATAAAAAAAGAGGACACATGGAAGTAGCGTTAATTGAGGCACTGTTTGGAGCCCTTTACAAACATTATCTGATCTAATTCTCACCATGATCTTGTGAGTGCTATCATTATCCCAATTTAGAGATGAGGTTAGGAGAGTAAATAATTAACTTGAATTTCAACCGCCCAGAAGCCATAGAGCTTATATTTGAACCCAGCTTGTTTTGAAACAAAGCAAATGGGAAGGAAAAAAAAAAAAGAGCTACCATGGAAGAAGGAAAAGCTTGGGATACTTCAGATTCAATACATTTAAGGAACCTGCAAAGGCTTTAATATGCAAATGAGCATCATGAGTCCCCAAGGAAGGATACTTTTGAGCAACTTGCCTCTTCAGTAAACCTTGCTGTCTGTAGCATGTTATTCTTGTTTATCTCTAATGCCCCACACCTGAACATTAAGAGCTTCCACTTTCCGAACTAAACTGCAGATGGTAGTTACTTGGCAGGAAACTTCTTTGTGTTGAAATGAGCAACACAATATTCCTTACTGAGAAGAGACGGTAAATTGAAGTAACTGTATTTCTAAATCATTCTTCATAAAGCTGTGGAAGGGATCCTGTTAAATCCTGAGTCAGACCTTGTCTTTCCTCTACTCAAAACCCTCCAGTAGTTTCCATTTCAAGTTAAAGTACATGTTTTTCCAGAAGTTTAAAAGGCCTGACCTGAGCTGGTCCCCATCATTTCCTGACATCATCTCCTCCTACATTGATTTGCCCTTCATATCC